AAACCTGTGGGTAGTAATTATCAATTTGGTGAGAGATGGAGGCAATAATTTCAGGCTCTTCCATCCTACGATTAAAGTGAGATGTGGACGATAACTGTCCACCGACACACGCCGCCCTCCGCTTCTCCTGTCGGGGAATAAAATGTTCAGTCCTTCGGTTTCATCATTACTATTTCCTCTTAATTTTGTTATAGTCAGCGTGAGTCACAAGTGAATCAGTAAACACAAACACTATTTCCTTCATAGCCGAGAGAACATTAACCTGGTTACTGAACGACGACTTAACCTGGTTACGACAGCGTGGTGTTTACTGCGGCACAATCATCAACATTTACTGACGACGACATAAAAGGTTAATGTTACTTAAGAATAAAAGCCTGATAATTTTACCCAGACGGACTTTTAAACCTTTTACTAAAACAATACGACACAGCATTAAGACGAACTGAGACATTAAACTTCATTAAAACAACAAACGTTTTATTTCAGCTACAGTACCTGAAATAGATGACTTTAATGAGTGTACGTCGACCTGAAATTTCGCTATTGTCAATTTTTTATACAAAGTGCGACCTACACTATTCCCTGACAGGAGTGACAGTGGGACCTATGACTGCTCGTGGGGGAGAGTGTTGATACAGCACACCATACAATACATCATAGGCACTCAATGAAGCAGTGTGGTCGCTGGCACTGCACTCCACCACCTTCACTTCCCAAACTTGTGATGTCATATAGTACAGAAATCCATTTAAAGGTGGGAGGTGCCATGAGCGGAGGTGTCAACAGCTGGTAGTGGTGGCAGGTGGTCGGGTGATGGGTGGGTGTCAACAGCTGCAGTGGTGGCAGGTGGTCGGGTGATGGGTGGGCGTCAACAGCTGTAGTGGTGGCAGGTGGTCGTGGGTGATGGGTGGGTGTCAACAGCTGGTAGTGGTGGCAGGTGGTCGGGTGATGGGTGGGTGTCAACAGCTGGTAGTGGTGGCAGGTGGTCGGGTGATGGGTGGGTGTCAACAGCTGGTAGTGGTGGCAGGTGGTCGGGTGATGGATGGGTGTCAACAGCTGGTAGTGGTGGCAGGTGGTCGGGTGATGGGTGGGTGTCAACAGCTGGTAGTGGTGGCAGGTGGTCGGGTGATGGGTGGGTGTCAACAGCTGGTAGTGGTGGCAGGTGGTCGGGTGATGGGTGGTGTCAGCAGCTATTGAGTAGTGTGGCAGGTGGTCGGGTGATGGATGGGTGTCAACAGCTGGTAGTGGTGGCAGGTGTGGTCAGCGGAGTGGGTGGGCGTCAACAGCTGGTAGTGGTGGCAGGTGGTCGGGTGATGGATGGGTGTCAACAGCTGGTAGTGGTGGCAGGTGGTCGGGTGATGGATGGGTGTCAACAGCTGGTGGTAGTGGCAGGTGGTCGGGTGATGTGCAGGTGTCAGCAGCTGGTAGTGGTGGCAGGTGGTCGAATTGATGGGTGGGCGTCAACAGCTGGTGAGTGGTGGCAGGTGGTCGGAGTGACAGGTGGGCGTCAACAGCTGGTGGTAGGTGGCAGGTGGTCGGGTGATGGATGGTGTCAACAGCTGGTAGTGGTGGCAGGTGGTCAGGTGATGGATAGGTGTCAACAGCTGGTGAGTGGTGGCAGGTGGTCGGGTGATGTGCGGGTGTCAACAGCTGGTGAGTGAGTGGCAGGTGTGGTCGGGTGATGGGTGGGCGTCAGCAGCTGGTAGTGGTGGCAGGTGGTCGGGTGATGGGTGGGCGTCAACAGCTGGTAGTGGTGGCAGGTGGTCGGGTGATGGGTGGGGTGTCAACAGCTGGTAGTGGTGGCAGGTGGTCAGGTGATGGGTGGGTGTCAACAGCTGGTAGTGGTGGCAGGTGGTCAGTGATAGATTGAGTGTCAACAGCTAGTGAGTGGTGGCAGGTGGTCAGGTGATGGGTGGGTGTCAGCAGCTGGTAGTGAGTGGCAGGTGGTCAGCGGAGTGATGGGTGGGTGTCAACAGCTGGTAGTGGTGGCAGGTGGTCGGGTGATGGGTGGGTGTCAACAGCTGGTAGTGGTGGCAGGTGGTCCGGAGTGATGGGTGGGTTTCAACAGCTGGTGAAGTGGTGGCAGGTGGTCAGGGTGATGGGTGAGTGTCAGCAGCTGGTAGTGGTGGCAGGTGGTCGGGTGATGGGTGGGTGTCAACAGCTGGTAGTGGTGGCAGGTGGTCGAACGATGGATGGGTGTCAACAGCTGGTAGTGGTGGCAGGTGGTCGGGTGATGGTTGGGTGTCAGCAGCTGGTGAGAGTGGTGGCAGGTGGTCGGGTGATAGTTGGTGTCAACAGCTGGTAGTGAGTGGCGGTGGTCGGGTGATGGATGGAGTGTCAACAGCTGGTAGTGGTGGCAGGTGGTCAGATGATGGGTGGGTGTCAACAGCTGGTAGTGGTGGCAGGTGGTCGGGTGATGGGTGGGTTTCAACAGCTGGTAGTGGTGGCAGGTGGTCGGGTGATGGGTGGGTTTCAGCAGCTGTTGAGTGAGTGGCAGGTTGGTCGGGTGATGGGTGGGTGTCAACGGCTGTGGTAGTGGTGGCAGGTGGTCGGGTGATGAATTGGGTGTCAACAGCTGTGGTAGTGGTGGCAGGTGGTCGGGTGATGGGTGGGTGTCAACAGCTGGTAGTGGTGGCAGGTGGTCGCGGGTGATGGGTGGGTTTCAACAGCTGGTAGTGGTGGCAGGTGGTCGGGTGATGGATGGAGTGTCAACAGCTGGTAGTGGTGGCAGGTGGTCGGAGTGATGGGTGGTGTCAACAGCTGGTAGTGGTGGCAGGTGGTCAGGTGATGGGTGGGTTTCAACAGCTGGTGAGTGGTGGCAGGTGGTCAGGTGATGGGTGGGTTTCAGCAGCTGTTAGTGGTGGCAGTGGTCGGGTGATGGGTGGTGTCAGCAGCTGGTTGTGGTGGCAGTGTGGTCGAATTGTTGAGTGAAGTGTCAACAGCTGGTTGTGGTGGCAGGTGGTCGGGTGGAGTAGATTGGGTGTCAACAGCTGGTAGTGGTGGCAGGTGGTCGGGTGATGGGTCAGGTGTCAACAGCTGGTAGTGGTGGCAGGTGGTCAGGTGATGGTGGGTGTCAACAGCTGGTAGTGGTGGCAGGTGGTCAGGTGATGGGTGGGTTCAACAGCTGGTAGTGGTGGCAGGTGGTCCGGGTGATGGGTGGTGTCAACAGCTGGTTGGCAGCAGGTGGTCGGGTGATGGGTGGGTGTCAACAGCTGGTTGTGGTGGCAGGTGGTCAGGTGATGGGTGGGTGTCAACAGCTGGTTGTGGTGGCAGGTGGTCCGGTGGTGGGTGGGTGTCAACAGCTGGTGAGTAGTGGCAGGTGGTCGGGTGATGGGTCAGGTGTCAACAGCTGGTAGTGGTGGCAGGTGGTCGGGTGATGGGTGGGTTTCAACAGCTGGTAGTGGTGGCAGGTGGTCCGGGTGATGAGTGGGTGTCAGCAGCTGGTAGTGGTGGCAGGTGGTCAGGTGATGGGTGGGTTTCAACAGCTGGTAGTGGTGGCAGGTGGTCAGGTGATGGGTGGGTGTCAACAGCTGGTAGTGGTGGCAGGTGGTCAGGTGATGGGTGGGTGTCAACAGCTGGTAGTGGTGGCAGGTGGTCAGGTGATGGGTGGGTTTCAACAGCTGGTAGTGGTGGCAGGTGGTCGGGTGATGGGTGGGTGTCAACAGCTGGTAGTGGTGGCAGGTGGTCAGGTGATAGTGGGTGTCAACAGCTGGTAGTGGTGGCAGGTGGTCAGGTGATGGATGGAGTGTCAACAGCTGGTTGTGGTGGTAGGTGAAAGCGGTCGGGTGATGGGTGGGTGTCAACAGCTGGTAGAGTAGTGGCAGGTGTCGGAGTTGATGGGTGGGTGTCAACCCAGCTGGTAGTGGTGGTGGTCGGGTGATGGGTGGGTGTCAACAGCTGGTAGTGGTGGCAGGTGGTCAGGTGATCGTTAAGGTGTCAGCAGCTGGTAGTGGTGGCAGGTGGTCAGGTTGATGGGTGGGTGTCAACAGCTGGTAGTGGTGGCAGGTGGTCGGGTGATGGGTGGGTGTCAACAGCTGGTAGTGGTGGCAGGTGGTCGGGTGATGGGTGGGTGTCAACAGCTGGTAGTGGTGGCAGGTGGCCGGGTGATGGGTGGGTGTCAACTCACAGCTTCTCCGAGTAAAACGCACAATTGTTTTCCACGTATTTCAGAATGTGAAAACAATATATATTTTTTCCCGATATATTGTCCCTGATTTTGTTCTCAATTAAAACAAACAATAAAAAATATCCCGAAAATAATAAGTTAATAAAAATAGATTTGTAAATTGTTGTAAATCGCGCTGTTAATGGGACAGTTTTACGGTATACGACAACTGCTGCATCATGTGACTTCCATGAACGAGGGACCATGATAAAAGTTGGATTCCACAAAATCAAGCAGAAGGATTCTGAGAATGTTAGTGTATAGAACCGAGGAGGCAGGGTGAGGTACACAGAGGTTATAGTGTACCTCCAGGTGAGACAGTGTAGAGGTGGGAGGTACACAGGGGTTAGGTTAGGTTACGTTAAATTAAGTTAAACCAGGTAGCGTTAGGTTAGTTCAGGTCACGTTAAGTTTGGTCAAGTCAGGAGATTAAGTTCTGATGAGTTATTACAAAAGAGATTCATTGTACTCTTATAATAAAGACTCGAGGCCACACCAGGAGAGTGAAACAGCGGGCACAGCACGAGGGATAAAGAGCAGAAGACACACTAGGAGCAAAGCACCATGTGGCACAGCAGGAAAGAGAGGCACCACTTGACACAGCAGGAAAGAGAGGCAACACTTGACACAGCAGGAAAGAGGGAGAAGCACCACTTGACACAGCAGGAAAGAGAGAGGCACCACTTGACACAGCAGGGAAGAGAGAGGCAACACTTGACACAGCAGGAAAGAGAGAGGCACCACTTAACACAGCAGGAAAGAGGGAGAAGCACCACTTGACACAGCAGGAAAGAGAGAGAGGCACCACTTGACACAGAGGGAGGCGTTGATCATGAAGGAGAGCCTCAGGGAGTCGTCACAAAGGTAATGGTCGATTGGTCGTCCTTTCTCCTACAGTCTCCTTGGTGGTCAAGACAACCTCCTGTTATCATACCCTGGTGGTCAAGACAACTTCCTGTTATCATACCCTGGTGGTCAAGACAACCTCCTGTTATCATACCCTGGTGGTCAAGACAACCTCCTGTTATCATACCCTGGTGGTCAAGACAACTTCCTGTTATCATACCCTGGTGGTCAAGACAACCTCCTGTTATCATACCCTGGTGGTCAAGACAACCTCCTGTTATCATACCCTGGTGGTCAAGACAACCTCCTGTTATCATACCCTGGTGGTCAAGACAACCTCCTGTTATCATACCCTGGTGGTCAAGACAACCTCCTGTTATCATACCCAAGGTCCTCCCCTCTTCCACTATTAACCTCACCTGTGGAGCCAATACCACTTCCACCTCGGTACCGTGTGACATTCCGACCCTTCGATTAAAATTTTTACAGCCTCTCGGGAATGTTCCTTATATAAACTACTAAAATACAACAACAACAACAATAACAACAACACAGGCGGGGGTTGTAGATACACCAAATACACGACACAGTGTACGGAGAGCCTCGTTAGTAGTGTTGTAGTTATGACATACAAACATAAGAACTAACTATTATCTATTCTAACTCTCGCACGTAAATTAAAATAGCTCATAATTCTTCTAAGACAATTTAAAATACTATATTGAGTTATAAAACTATATATGAAAGAGCTGTCTCCTCTCCTCTGCCACTCCCCGGGGTGAAAGTGAACACACAATAAGTTATTTACTGTATTAACCAACTAACTTGACTGACAGAAGGTCGTGGACCACACAGCCAAGACTGATGTATCAAATATTAGTCAAAATACATCACTAATGACATTATTTGTGTTGATATTGGCTCAGGCATTCTCAGCCAGTCGTCTTCTCAGTCAATATTCGCCGACCAGTCACATACAAACACCGTGAGATCATGATAAGGCTCCACGTACCACTCAAAGTTGCGGTGGGTGGATCCTTAAACTGCGGTGGGTGGATCGTTAAACAGTGAGGTGGGTGGATCCTTAAACAGTGCGGTGGGTGGATCCTTAAACAGTGCGGTGGGTGGATCCTTAAACGGTGCGGTGGGTGGATCCTTAAACAGTGCGGTGGGTGGATCCTTAAACAGTGCGGTGGGTGGATCCTTAAACAGTGCGGTGGGTGGATCCTTAAACGGTGAGGTGGGTGGATCTTTAAACAGTGAGGTGGGTGGATCCTTAAACTGCGGTGGGTGGATCCTTAAACGGTGTGTATTAGTGCATGCGGCGGCTGAATGGATACAGAGCTCGCCTGCTATCCTATTGGTGAGCTGAGAATGGGAACCTATATTACAAGAAAGGCTGAAGGCAGTCGAGTACAACGCCGTCCACACTGCCTCCTTGTGAAGCCTTGTCCACTTCTCTCCATGGGACCACTTCCACGGTTCACTAATGACCCTCTCGCAAAACACAAGCTGTAACACACACCCTCCCCCTCTTACTCCTTGGTGAAAATCGCTAATATGTCTACTATTTTAATTATGGGATGTTATTTTAGCACAACAGAACAGCCTTTAAACCTTCCGGTAAGTTTCCCCGAGTTTTATCACGAAACAGTCTGATTGTGGTCAAGATCATATAAAGTTCCTGGTGATGCTGAAGAAGCTCTGAGCTCCACCTCCCACTCTCTATCTGTTGTCAAAGAAAGGTTGGGTGAAGTCAACACCCGACAGAGGCCATCCTTTCAATTTATAACCTCCAATTATTGGTTATATTCCAGACAACAACTAAAGGCTTTTGCTCGGTAAATTATTACAATCTTCCTTAAGTAGCGTTCTGTGTCTTCTTTAGAATACTCTACAACAATTTTCTTATTAATGCTCACTGAAATTACTATTCAGATAAAGATGTTTTCAACGATTCTACAGTTTCTGAGGATCCACTGGGCAGCAGTTCTGTTATAGGGTAGTGCAAATACAACACACTGTCTATTATACCTTCCGTACACAGTGTCAGGCACTGGACTCGACTACCTCCATCTCCCCAACCGTAAAGTTGGGTACCCATTCACAGCTGGGAAGACTGAGGGTGGACTGGGTACGAGGCAACGACATTTATGACAGATGTGCGCTGCATCTTTTCCTCTGATACAAATCACATTAATATAAATAATATTTTATGGCCAGGCAATAAATATTGCCCAACACCACAGGTTATATGCACGGTGCACGCCAGTCACGGGATTGTGCACAAAGTGTACACCAGCTTCGCAACGACCGCCGTATGCAGTAGTGTACAGTACAGCACTACCACAAGCTGCCAGGTCGGTGTACCTTTGTTATGGATAACACCTGTTAAGTCAGCCACATGGCGGTCATCCATATGGACAAGTAGTGGAGTTATCTATCATAGATCTACATAATCACAGAGGCCGCCAAGGGTACACAACTCTGGTGTGCTCACAGCTGCATGTTAAGTGACAACTCTCACTTAAACAAGCAGTAATATAAGGGAACGATCGGCCATAAAGATTTTGTCACAAGTTAAGTCGTGTTTTGTTGAATATACAA